TTATTAATTAGAATTCAAAGAAATAGTTTGAAGGATTAAAAAAATCTCTAAATTTCACCGTTAAGAAATATATTAAAAAAGAGTCATAGTGGCAAAATAATAAGTAAAATCTTTATTGAAAATTTTAATTTTCTTTTTTTGTTAATATTTAATTAATAAGAGCTTTAAATCCATATAATTAAATACCTGTAAAACCAGGTAAGCATGAGCAATTGAAATCACCAATAAACCCTTGACAGGTAGCACCATTCTCGCATGGATTTGGACTGCAATAATCAATTATTGTATCACATATATCACCGGTATATCCTCGTCTACAAACACACGAATGTGTTGTTGATGTTAGCTGTATGCAATCACCGTTATCACCACATGGTCCTTCTACACAACTGCCTGCTATTTCACAACGATCTCCTAAAATTTAAAAATTTTTCAACATAAAAAAAATGCCCTATAATTTAAACATTATCGAGGCATATTAATGAAAGCTTTTAGTGATCAGCAAAAGAATTGATTTAATAAAAGTAGAAACTTCATTAATATGAATCATTTTCAAGCAGTACTTGAATTTTTCAAAAATTGATGATTAAATAGGATTTTAAAAGAAGTATAATAAAAAAAGGATAAACCCAAATAATAGCTATCGCAGCTACATTGATACGATCCAGGTGTATTCGTGCAATTACCATCATTTTCGCAAGGAAATCGCATACATTCATTGATATCGACATCACAATGTTCACCGCTCCAACCTGAGTCACATTCACACAAAAAATTGTCACTTATTGTTTTACAATGTCCATGTAAACAAGGTAATGCTTTACAGTAATCTTTCATTTCATCACAAATTCGACCTGCAAATATAAATAAGCAATCAAAATTAAGCGGAAAAATATCATAAAAAAGATGAATTACATGTATATTATAGTATGATAAAATGTGAATATTATATTGTAAATCCTATTACAACTATTTTAAAGTAAACAATATTTTTAATTTAATATAATTGTTTTATTGAATTTTATTGCTCTAATACTGCAGATCATTTTATGCATAGCAATTCGTATATAACGTTTATTTCCTAATTTCATAAAATGATCTTAATTAGCGGACAGTACTGAGTTTATTCAAATATTATCCATAAAAATTAAAAATAACGTTTTTTAGGAAAAAATTTGCACAATCTTTTGAATTCTGTTATGGTTTTTTTTCTCATATTTTACTTGGTTTGCGCTTTTTTCTCATTATCGAAAATTTCGAAATGCACCTCAATTAACTCTACAACAATTTGATAGTACAGTTAGCGCAAATAGACAATAAACATTTTCCCAATTTTTTCTCCCCTTCCTCAAATTTATTTTATGGCTTTTTTGAAAGTTAAACAGTTTAAAATAAAATGAATACCTTCATAACCATTAGCGCATATACATTTAAAATCGCCATTTTCTGACAAACATATTGCTCCATTTTTGCATGGATTTAATTCACACATATCTTTTTGTATATCGCAAAGTATACCACCAAAATGTGGCGGACAATCACATTTGAATGTATTCTAAAATATTAAATACAAAATGAAATATTCCATTCCATTTGTGGAGAATTTTAATTATCACTTTAAAGTTTGAGCTTTCTAACAAAATTTTACTATATTTTTACTAAAATAACAATCATTTTTCCTGCATTCAATTCATATTTATCTATTATTTCCTGTAACTTACGAAAAAATATAAAAATTAATTCATTTCCCCGAAATAAAATTTTGTCTTCTTTCATATCTCTCATCATTTTATAAATATTAAAATGATTTCTCTTTCCAAATAAAAATGAATAAATATATAACCTGAACTATCGTACAATTAGCTCCATTTTCACACGGTGAAGGAATACATTTTGATGATTTCTACAAAAAATTATTGCATTTTCAAAAGATAGATTTGATTTTTTAAATTGACCTTCCTCCATTAGTCGATCATTTCAGAAGTTTTATTCCTTTTTTTAATTTATCATAAAATGCACATGAAATTCTTACAAGTGCTTGACAACGTGATCCGACAAAATCAATTGGACAATGACAGTTATATTTGCTCTTTGACATTGTACAGTTTCCGCCATTTAAACACGGTGATAATTTACATAAATTCATTTCTTTATCACAAAATTTTCCATCATATCCTGGTAAGCATACGCAGCTGCAATGATTTATTGAAACAAAAAAAAAAAAGAAATCTATTAAACCGAAAACATAATAATAATTTCCAAAGTTTCAGTAATTTTTTTTTGCTTTGCTGTTATAGATTTTACTTTGATTATTGCAAAGACCATTTGACCTTTTTCCTTTTTTAAATTAGTCGTTTTCAAGAAAATATATAATGATTAAGATAAATATTGAAATTCACCTATATTCATCAACATCATTGATGCATATGCCAAATTTACAATTATGATTCTTACATCTATCAATTCGTATCTGCAAAATTAAAAAAAGTGCTAAAATGATTTTAATTTAAGCCAAAAATTCTTCTAATATGTGGTAATTTCTAAAACAAAAAAAATTATGAGAAAAAATATAAACCACAAATTTGAAATGAGATTAGCCTAACATAATATGTATTCTAAGTGTAATGGATACAAAAAACAATGAAAAATCTCTATATAATTTTAAAAAAATATTAAAAAAATCCCTCATCAACATTCGAAGGAAATATTTAAAAAATCTTCTGTCATAATTTAAAACAAGCATTTAAAAAATTGTCATAATTTAAAGCAAATATTTAAAAAATCCTCCACCATAACTTGAAGAAAATATTTAAAAAATCCTGTATCATAATTCGAAGGAAATATCCAACCTCACAAAAAGTGCCAGTATAGCCAGGCCTGCATTCGCATACTCTCTTATTCCACAAATCACGACAAACTGCATCATTTTTGCATGGACTAACTAAACCACAAAGGTCATCAGCGTAGCAACGATTATCGATGATATTTCGTCGTTTCAT